CGTAGACCAGGGATTCTCCAGGCACATGTTTATGCATTCATTTCACATTGGGGACAATGTGAAAGAGTGGGGGTGCATTCAAAGACTTCAGCTAAATATGATCCTCTTAGAGTTAATCTGTAAGCTGACATGGCATTTTAAGAAACACAATCTCCTCGGGTTTGCTCTGAATTCATTCAAGCAATCTGTTATTAGCATATCAGAGCTTTCACATTAAAGTTGGGTTCGTGTTCATGTTCATATTCCTCGTGTGATGTATTACGTGTTTGCATGAATTAGACGTGGAGAGGTTCAGCTCAGGTCCACTGTGAAAATCAGACCTTTAGGCTGCTGTCATCAAGATAATAAACATGATGGAGGTGGACACCACTGTGGACAACACGGGACACCAGAGGTCAAGGGATTACCTTGGAGTGACTTATTGTCTTTGACAGGTGAACCGGCAGCTTCAAGGTGACCTTCACTCTGACTCATGTTTGGTTGGTTGTTGTTTCTTTTTCACTGTCTGTGTCTTTGACAATCAGCAGAGAGTGACACTGCTGAGACAAAGACAGGACATACAGCTATGCATGAGGCTTCCTGTGGAACAATTCGTCTGCGGCCTGTCAAACCACGGCTCCGGGGCCACGGCCGTACAGATGGCTGTACACTACACACCACATGTTTGTTCCTGTAAATATTTTAAAAACGACTCTTTTCCACCTAAACAGTCTAAATACAAAGGTGTTCATTACCCTAAAACCATAACTGTCAACACACATCCTTGAGCTCCCCGGGTAAGTTCATATTTTACACCCAACCTTTGCCGGGTAATTAAAAACATGGCAGCGCCTCATTAACACCAGCTCCTGTTCCTCCTGGGGACCACCAGCCCATAGAAGGTCAGCGTTAATGCCCCCAAAATGTCCAGTGGATGTAATAAAAAAACACACACATAATTATACACGCACGCCAGACACAGACACACACGAGCCTATAGTGCCACCCTGTGGCTATTTAGTTCATCGGTTTTCCTGCTTGAATTAATATCGTATTTTGAGTATTACAACAATTACATTTAGAAACATATATATGTATATATATATACACGTACTATATTTTTTTTCTAAATTGAATTATTTATAATTTTATATACACATATACTTTATACACACATATATACATATATACACGTACTATATTTTTTTTCTAAATTTAATTATTTATAATTTTATATACACACATATATACATATATGAGATTTTAAGGTGGCTAAGAAACAACTACAGTTTTTATAAAAGAGGATTTCAACTGGAGGCACGTGATGCCTAGGGTTCGCGGAAGTACATTTGCCTGTTCCTACTACTTTTTACATTGTTTTGCACAAAGTTTAAATAAAAATTAATTCAGTAAAACGCCAGGGTCCCTGTTCCATCTCCTCATTATTTTTAACAACAACAACGACACTAATAAAATTTTCCGAGAGGTCAGTAAATGCATCTTAACGGTAAGCGTATCAGACTCAACTGACTCGCGTAATCTTCTCTTTTTGTACAGATCACAAAAAGCTGTAAACATTCGTTTAATAACTTCAAATAATAAATAAGAACCGAATAAAGTCTGAGCTGCCGCGGACGAGGACTGAATTTGAGTGTTTTGTGTAATTACAATAAAAACGCTCCGTTAATCACACACACCGGAACTAATCAAGGTTTTCCGGAGGGATTTGAACGTTAGATCCAGACGCAGGACACAGAACCCCCCTGAGAAACGTCGTGTTCAGTTTCTCTGACGTGAGTTTAAAACATTTAATGATTTGTTCTTAATTTGCATCTCCCGTATGGTGTAAATATGTCGTCATGAATTATGTCATTTGCTGATGTTTATATTCAATATTAAGTGGTTTTATTCTTTGCTACTTACATTATCAAAACGCCAACTAAGGCGGTGTTCCGTTTTGTACCAGCAGGTGGCGGTCTTACCATGTGCCAAAAGTCTGTCATAAACGCATTCCATAACTTTGTCCCTTACTCAAGCCATATTGTATAAATATATTTAAAAATATATTCACATAGTTAAAATTGCATTTTTTACACAAATATCAAATATTTATTTTTAATATTTTAAAAGCTATTAGAAAGCAGATTTTGTTTAATCTCTTGTAACATATAACTGACCAGCAATTAAAGTAAAGTAGTACTTAAATTTTCCCAAAATGCAGATCATAAAGAAGCTAGAATCATTCACATACAAATATAATAAAATAATATAATATTAATTTAAAACTAACGTCTTAGAATTTGGATTTGGAGAAGCTTTAGGACAAAACACCAAGTGTTTGTTTTGACATTGTGCTACTATACTTATTTAAATGTACCATACAAAAATTGTAAACCCTCATGGGGAAAAGAAATAAATTATATTTTTATCCAAACCACAAAATGGTCAGTGAAACAACTGTGTTTACGTTGATGATTTTATTATCTTTAAAAATGACATTCCAAGAGTTACAGGTAAATAAAAAGTACATTACACAGTACAGTACATGTTCTAAAATATAAAACTGCTTTTCCCGTTTGTTTGATTGTGTCCTGTGCAGAGTACATGGTGTAGTTCTTCTCTGTGGTCACTGTGGAACTGGACACTGACTAAGGCACCGTTTACAACTCACAGAGTAGTCGTATTTATTGTCACTAACAGATGGAATAGCATCTTATTATAGAACATGAATATCCTCGAAAATAAAACTTTTCACCCTCCTCCGAATAATGATTGTAGATTCAGCAGTGAGACTCAACAGATTGTTTTTTTTTTTTATTATCTCTGATCCGTTACAATAAGAAGTCATCATGAGAAAATGATTATCTTTCATATGCAAATCTGAAGTGATCACTATTTTGATCAGTAAGCAGTAGCATAAGTAGAAGTGATAGCTCTCTAGGGTTTTTTTTTTTCAGTCAGGTCCAGCAGGGGGAGCCCTGGACTCCAGGTTGCTGCAACCGTGACAATGCGTTTGCATAGTTTAAAGAGAAATGGACATTTAACAGCGCATGTGGGCAGCTGCAGCTCCCTGAGTGCAGTCTGCAGAACACGTTAATGCAACTCAAAGCACCTGCGTTTCTCCGCTGAGGATACGGTAATGGTAGAACATGCAGCATGGCGCTCGTCAATTATACTTAATGCAAATGTCCAGAACGGACACTTGAGAATGATGAGTAAAAGTTAGAACGGCGTCACCATGTTTCCACGTCACCACCTTGTTTAGCTGTGAGGTTTGTAGTGTTTACTTTGAAATAAAAATGCAATTTTGCTAATTGCATTAGATACTGTATGAAATAGTTGGTCTTTTTGTCACGTTTTTTTGTTTGTTTGTTTTGTTTGTTTTTTTGTGTCTTTTTTTGCATTTGTGCATTTTACAACAGTCAGAGTTTACCCGTAAATGTAAACAGATATTATTTACCTCTAGATTCTTTTTTTATTGAGTCAGATCTGGACTGCAGGCAGGACGGTCAAAGCTCCTTCAACATTAGCCTCTGCATGAATGCTAATTTATTTGGAGAACAGCTGGCCAACCCACTACAAATGTGTCGCATATCAACAGTTCCTCTGTCTGATATTCTGAAATAAATACACATATTGCTTCTGATGAATTGTCTTCCTTCACATAATTCATAATTTATTTTAGTAAAAATAACACACTGGTCCCTTTGTTTACGCTGCAGCAGCCTGGATTACAGTCATGTTTCCATCAAAGCCTCAGATTAAGTTTAGATATTTGTAGTTTTACTGTAGTATTTTCCAGTACTTTATTCCCTCTGAGGTTAAATCTGATGCAGTGGCCGTGACCTCAAATGGACAGATATATTTTTGAGAGAGAGAGGTGGAAGGTCGTTGATGGTCAGTAACGTAAGCAGTATCCATCATGATGATGGACAGAGCACAGCGTCCGTCAGCAGCAAAAAGGCCACATGGTGGTGGAGAACGGCCGGTCTCCCTGCAGCTTACAGTGATCGCGTGCCTCACAGTGTGTAATGCTGACTGTGTGTGAAACCTCTCTCTCTCTCTCTCTCTCTCTACCTCAGCCTACTTTAACCAGACTAATGTCAGCTTTTATTTAAGCTTGATTTTGCAGATGCCAGGATTAAAATTAAGGACACATTAGGGATGACTGACGGCTCATTAACAGAGAGCAGGAGATGAGATCATGTGCCCGGTTACTGAACCGTGCCCTTCCCCCTCGCTAAGTGCCACAAGAGATGCAAGGGAACGAGTACGAGAGTGAGGTGGAGGGGTGTGGGGGCGGGGAGCAGAAAGTAAGAATGTGTGTTTTTGTGCGCTGGCTGAAGGCTGCTCGCACGCCCTGACGACGGGTGTGGATCAAACCAGGCTGTAAAAAAAGAACGGAGAGGAAATGGATGGGGTTTTATTGGAGTTGGACGCTGGGCTGGCAAACTTTCCGTGTCTGCATCACCAGCACTTCATGCTTTAGCAGCCTGGAAGAAGTTAGCTCTGAAATGTATTAGGTTTGACACAGTGTTGGATGTTTGGGTTGATTCAAAAATATTCAAAGATTTAAGATGTGACAACATCAAATCCCGCAGTAAGACAGCTCCTGCAACCAGGCTGAAGGGGGGGGTGGTGTATCACAGGGCATGGGGGGTGGGGGGGGTGCGGCTTAGTGTCACACAGCAGGACCAAGAGTGTGGTTTCTCCAAGAGCATCACTGGATAAATGAGCTTCTTTTTATATGTCATGTTTATGAAGTCTGACAGCAGGAACAACGTCCTCTGAAGCTTCTCCACACACACATGTAAACATCACTGTGATGTCACAACATCTCTGTGTCTGTGAGCTGGTACCAGCCAGCAGTCGGAACGGCATCGACCCCAAATGTAGACGGCGGGAGTGAATGATTGTTCTGTAGAAAAATAGAACATTCTTTTGTAAATAATAAAATATCTTTGGCACTTGAAACCAGAGCGTGAATAAAGTAACAGACGTCGAGTATAAAAAGCCGAACTACAAAGCTCTAAAAGATTAAGATAATCCCCCTTCATCCACATATGAGTCTTGCCAGTCCCGGGTGGATTTGTGCCTGGACGGGGCCGTACTCCACCATCTCTCCATCCACGGTGATCACGCCATGTGGAGTGACGGGCTCCAACCTCAGCGCCTTCACCTTCTCATACACCAGGTGGGGGCAGTCACATGACAGGTGGGCCCCCTTCTCCATGGCGAGGAAAAGGCGCAGGAGGGCGGGGCGTGAGATTCCCGCCGTCACGTAGAAGAGGTGAATTAGTCCGTCGTCCGCCGACGCACCGGGGACCGTCCACAAGTCCTCAGCCAAATGGGACTGGTAAATAGCAAGTACTAAGACAAAGTCCTCCTCCTGGACTACAGTCCAGCTCTCTGGTACTGGCTGGTCCAGGTCAGGAAGGAGTGAGTCCACCGGTGTCACGGTCTTACCACCGCCCTCCGATCTCTTGGTGGTGATTTCACCGGTGGTGTTGGTGATGGTGTTGTGGTTTGAATTTGGGCTGTTGTGATTGTGATGAGAGATGAGGTTTGTGGAGGAGTCAGGGTTGAGCTGACAGGGGAGGGAGGAGCAGAGTGAGGGACGCTGAGGTGTGGACGGACTGTGGCCAGTCTTCGTGGTCCCTTTGGGGAGTTTTGGCTTCTCCTTGGCAGGCAGATATGCTAATCTGCCCTGGTATATTTTGAGGGAGGCCAGGCGCACCAGGGTGCCCATCAGGAAGCGGATTGCGCCGACGTGCCGGTACTTCTCGCTCTCGATGTCAACGTCAGCCACAAAGCCCCAGGCCACGGAGAGGAAGGAGAAGAGACGTTGACGGGAGGACAGGTGGATGGACACCAGGTCCAGGGTGCCAACCAGTCCTTTACAAAGCATGAAGCCACAGCTCAGCAGCAGCTCTTCATTCCAAGCTGGAGGTGACCTGAGAAAGTGTTGCACAAAGTTAACTTTACTATAAGAAAAAAAAAGTCTTTTCTTTTTAATGAACACAAACCAAAGGTTAAAATTAATCTTGAGAACTTGGAAAAATGTTTGACCTACAAGGTCCACAATCTCCTTTAGAACTAAGATTATGACATCTTTATTTGACCTTCAGCTGCACATCGCTGCAGTTCCAGTTTGCTCCACTGTCTCTGTGCCCTCCTGAGACACAATGTGCCCAGTCAGCCTTTGGCTTAATCACACAGAGAGGAGATAAATCGTTCTTTATTTTAAGGCCAAGGGTGGTTTGTCTTTGCTCCTCTTTTGGGACTGTGCATTTAAATGACTCATTAAGGGACAGACTTACTGTGAGTAGTGGTGGACGGAGGCTGCCAGGGCGTTGCCTGAGCCACCTGGTAGAATACCAACAGGAGTCTGGATGGCCCTCTGCCAGTCCTCTCTCTCCATCAGACCATTTATCACCTGGAAAGGGAGAATTAATTAGTCAAACAGAAATTTAACTGCAGCCCTGAAAAATAAATTGTCAATGTATCACAGAGGTTAAAAAAAACAAACAAACAAAACAGGGCAGATATTGTTGCAAGAAAGGAGTCTGTGCCTCAGATTTTATTTAAAGGTAAAGGTTGATTTATATATATATATAATAATAATAATAATTATTATTATTATTTGTGTACTAACCAGAAAAAATAGACAGAGACCTACAGTACATCTATTATTTCCACTGTTACTTGAATTTCCCCAGTAATTAAAAATAGGTCAAGCAAAGTCAAAGTCACCTCGAACAGCAAACCATCCCCTGACATGATAACCAGAGCGTCCCACCGGGACAGGTCGGCCCTCCTCACCACTTCCCGTGCGTGATTTTGGTGCTCTGTTAGGCACAAGACACCAAGAGAGAGTAAAAATACAAGAAGACACGGAAAAAATGCAAACAGACTTTAAGGCATATCTACAGGACATAAACAACAAGACGGAGGCAGAGAAGAGACACGCTGCCTTCACTGTCAGCCTGCGGGGGTGGGATCAGAGAGATTAGGGCTGAGAGATTCAATTTCTCCTCATCAGAACAGACGTATCACATTGACCCGTCCAGTGGCTAGTCAACAGCTCTGGGCCAGATTAACTGCTCTACCAACATCTGTGATGCACAAAAATCTACTTACGTATGTGTGTGTGTGCGTGTGTGTGTGATGGTTAATTTGTTGGAAGCTATTTATTCAGCCTAGTTTTGAAAGTCTGTCTCTGCAGGGGGTTGTTAGCAGCAATCCAACTGGCAACCACATCACTGACTGTGCAGTGTGAGGATCGTGTGCTGAGATCAGAGCAGAACGAGGCTGCGTTCACACTGCAGGCTGAAGTGGAATATGACTTTTGTGGTGTGAATAATGACCAGTCAGGATGGTCTTTGCTCTGATTTGCATAAAAAACATTCTACAGATGGAAATGAAAATACACACAAAACACATAAACTACACATTATGTGAGTGACGCTGCTCAAGTTGCTGCTGCCTGTTTGACAGAGGCTGAGGTCAGTGATGCACTGCTGCACTGAAAGACAGAGACCGAGAGAGCAACGAACTGCATGGCACCAGCTGACTCAGCACTTTTAAGGCCGCACAGGGCCAAAATCTGACTGATGCTTCCTGACGCCTCCCAGATGGTCTGAAGCTTCAGTCAAAGGGGCAGAGTCTAAATAAAAGACATGGAGGCAACTGGAAATCAGACCATTTAAAAAGTCTGGTTACATGCAACAACATTAGTTGGTCGCATTTTATTGCAGAATTCCTGACACCTGACAGGACTGAGAACAAAAACAGTTTTACTGATGACAACTTAAGCTTCGTCCATTTCTTACACACAGTCAGTGTCTGCCACACTGGAGGCTTCACACCGGATGTAAAAGACATAAGGAGTGCCTCAGCTGTGACCGTGTGCCAGTTCTTTCTGGACTAGTAATCGTTCAGTGTCTCCTTGGATCTCTGCACTACGACTAACGGTGAAGGCTCTCTGTGACTGGGTTTTCTCTCTCCTTTCTGATGGCTCTATACTTTCTCCTTGAACCTGAGTCGTTGCTCGGTTCTATACTTTCTCCTTGAACCTGAGTCGTCATTTCCACCCTGGTGCAGCTGCTGACCTTCCATTAATCCCTGTGTGTTTCCAAAGGCAGCCTCCTTGCAAACAAATGCATTCTTCCCTCTCTCATCTGTCACTCTAGCCCCGACTCGTTGCATAAAACATTATGTCCACTGTGCATGTCTGACACACTTGTTTTGGCATCTCCTGCGTTCAGAATCTCATCATCTGTACGTTATTGCACCGTGATGGCACTGAAAGTTTAATCCCGTGCTTCGCTGTTTGATATCAGAGTGACCTTGGACCCGTCTGTGATGTAATGCACAAATAACACGCGAGGCAGAGTCTCTTTGCAACTGTTACTGGCCTGTAATGAAGAGCTTGTAGGGAACAGCGGCTTCGGTGAGCATGCCCTGTACGTGGCCGGTGAAGAGCTGCAGAGCTTGGCCGCGTCCGCTCTGAGGGTTCACGAATATCATGACGCGGCCGGGCCGCCGGACTTCTGTGTACGTGACACCTGAAACAAACAGACCGAGGAGAAAGTTATTACTGAGGAGGACGAACAAGGACAACCTGACCAAGGACGAGTTAGAGACAGTGACAGCATTCAGAGTGTGAAGCTCCATGTTAATGTGAGGAGATGTTTCCTCTAAGAAGGGGAGTTTACTGCTGCTTCTAAGCTGTGATCTCGCCCTTTATTTTTAGCAGCGGTGTGACACTTAGCATGTTGTTAGAAAAAACAATCACTCCTGATGTTTTTGTTGCCCAAGGAAAGATGAAATAGAATAAAATAATAAAATAAAATAGAGTAGAATAGTCTTGCACAGTGTGGTCCCTGTAATTTACTTAGTGTTTATATACATTTATAAATATATATGTATGTATATATTAATTAATTTTTAGAAAAATCATCAACATTCCCAACTATGACAGAAAATGTTTAATAATTAAGAATTAACATAGAAAATATCAGCAAAATCTTGCTTCATCACCTGCTTCAACACATTGGTTCCATTGTAAAGGACAAAAAACTCAGTGTCCAATAAAAACACAGCTTCTTGGTGGTAAATAACACTGTGTCAACATCAGGTAGACACAAAGTTTTAAGTCTCCTGAATTCATGGGCAGTGATTTATTGGACTCATTAACATCCATCTACTCCATTTTTTATTACCTCGTCTCGATTTCCAGCGATGCGTTCGCTGCCTGTGCGAACCATCAGTGATGGGGAGTGGGGACAAAAATATCACAGAGAAAGAGGTGTGATCTCACTTTTGACTGAGTTTATAGACTCCAGTGTGCTGAGCTAAAAGGAATAGCTCTAATAAGACCCACAGACGTTTGACCTTGGGTGGGGAGCTAAGGTCCTTGTTCTTTAAAAGGAAACACAGCAGACAACTGACTCACCATCCACACCTCAGTAGTAAACAACAAAGTTGGTCGTCCAATATCAGTGGACCGATATTAGCATAATTTTGTAACATCTGTAAGAATCGTTATGGGTTTTTCCTCCGGTTATAAAAACTAGATAACAGTTTTGGGGATAAACAGCTGTATGTATGAAAATGAAAGTCACTAGATGGCAGCATTGTAGCTCATTTAATTAATCTATTTTAATAATCAGAGGGTTGTATGCAGAATGCTGGTGCCAGCAACTCATACAGTGGTTTGTAAAGATAATTAAATAAATATGTCAATCAAAAAAATAGTTGACAAACACTAAAAATAGGGTTTTAAAACTGTGTTTATAGCACCACCTGCAGGACATGAAGAGGAACTTCTTAATTCACTGTTCACCAAGACTGGAAACTACACGTGCCTCTAACTGTGATAGCTTCTTTTGAGACGTTCTTCCTGGACTGTGTCTGTCTGCGAGCTGAAATCAGACACCTGAGCACAAACTGTCCATCACACTGACAAGCAAAGTTTTTACTGCAGTGTGTGTGTGTGTGCGCGCGCACCCACTTAGCTGGGAAATACAGTGCACACACACACACATTCATACACACCGAAAGGCAAAGAGTTGACAGGCGGACTGGATGAAATGTGCTGTGTGTCACTGCTAACAAGTGCTGAGCCGACAGAGCGGAGTTGAACAACTCACTGCCACAAGTGTTTCACTGCAGAAATATCCAGAGGAACGGCGTGAAGTGTCTTCAGCATCACGCACATCAGGTTGGATTTACTCAGGCATAAAACCATGAAAGGACACATTCGGAGCAGAGACAAATATGTGGGCAACTGAGTGATGATGCCGCAGTGAAACTGACTTCCTTTTTCAGACAGGACTGACGTGTCTGCAAACAAACAGCATTCCTGGGTTGGGTTAGTCTATGTGGGAGGAGAGGGGAGGAAAATCGACCACGTGAAACCCCTGCTGCCCACCGAGGGTGGACAGTGGGTGATGACACAGGGGTGTCATCTTCAGAGCTGAAGACTCGGGGTCGGGGGGGTTATGACAGAAGAATAGCAGCAAAGTTGAAAGAGAAGGTTCATAAGTCTGCAGTGAGATCTGCTATGATGTAGGAGGAATGTTGGAGGAAATGAAGATGCTGAGATTTTTCCCAGGGTTAGTGACCAGGATGGACAGTTACAAGCAGGTTCTACTGGAAGAAGCTAGGTGGCGTTGTCCCCTTTGATACAACTGTAGATCTTCTGAGAACACTATCATTTCTTTAATGTTGCTGCGACAAACAGGAAAATGTGTGACAGAATCAGGATGCCTTGTTCTTTTAGCCACCCTAATTTTAAAGTTGCAATCTCATTTTAATTAAACCGTCACTTCATATTTTCATCAGAAGGTTCATTAGAAAATACTTTTCTCTCTAAACACTGGAGCTTCAGGGAAAAATATCTCTGATAATCCAAACTTTTTTATCTGTAATATCAGATTAGATTACATGCAATTAAAGTAAATGCTGGAGGTTCAGATTAGTCAACCACATTGATTTGAATGCAGCAGCACACTGAAAACACACACAGCACGTTGTGTTAAATACTGTATCACTGGCCTCGATTTGGAGAATTTTGAAGATGCTCATAATTCTATATGCTCAAAAGAAAGCCCTGGGGTAAGAGCCAACTTGGCTGATCAAGTGAAAGGCCAGTCCAGTTACCTCCCAAGTCACCATCTGTCTGCCCGACGACACCCAGAATCCTGCTGTCCACAGACTAGAGGAGTCTGGCTGTTTGTCATCAGACAGGCTGCAGTCTGTCTCTGTGTTTGCCTGGTACACCGGGGGTCCGCTACCAAAGGAGGGCGACCTCATTCCTCATCCTTCCTCCGCTAATGTGTCCCTCCATCTTTGGCAACCAACATTCCACATTAGTCACTGCCAGAGTTAAATATCCGCTTCACTTTTGAACTACGGCCAGGCTGCAGTGAGGGACAGTTCTTAAAGTGGACACGCTGGACGCCACATATACACGCTGACGACAAACAGAACAGATTAAGACAAGGACTTCCTCTCCGAAGGTATCACTGAAATTCGCCTCCTTCCTCTGTTGCCATGTTTTGGTTTTGATCATATAAACTTTTTATAGATCTGTTTACAAATCTGTATATAGATCTGTAGACGGAGGCTCACAGAGGAGACAGACTGTCTAGAACCTTGGTCTACACCAGCACTTTTTGTGTAAACCAAATACCATAGTAAAAGATGGTATACGGGTTACATACATTAGCACATATCCTCCCTGAGAGGATGGAGATTTTAGAGTTGAGGTATCCTGTTCCATTTGTGGGACACAGAGGCATCCACTGGAGGGGGCGGGGCTATAATTCCTTAAACAAAATATGATTCTAGCTGACTCTCTTCAGTTAAGAGCATTGAGCAAAGAAACTGGTAATTAAGTGCCGTAATTGTCCCACTCTGGGGAAACTTAGTGTGTGTGTCTTTGCAACCCACACAGGCTGCCACAGGAGGCGCCATTAGGCATGTGGTTCCTGTGGGGCTCAAACCCAGGACCTTCTGCATGTAAGGCAGATGTGACATGCTAATTGCTTAATTGAACCATTACATGCAGAATCACCAGTGTTTGGCATACCATAGCTTGAGAACCACGAGTGTACAACAAAGTTCACATTATATGGATTACACAAACCTATTTAGCCATACAAATTTACAAAACGTAAATGAGAAATATATTTATTGTATCCGCCCATTACTTACAGTAAAAGTCCATGGGTATTTGATAAGGAAGAATATTCAGGCCCCGTGCTCATGTTAAGAAGAGTTCAGGCTTGCTTTTTAAAACAATATATACAGCAGTAAATACAATGTTTGCAGTGCATCCAGTGAGTAACCAACATGTGGCTCACGTTCAACTCCACAGTACAAAATGCTGCAGGTGACAGTGTGGCGACCTCAACAAACCGCTGTGTTCCAGGGAGTTCTGGTAGAACTAGTGGAACTGTACTTTCTGCTTTGAACTCTAGATACAGGTTCACTACATCCACGTCCTATTAACTGTCCAGGACTTTTCATAACCTGACTGTCAATTTTCTACTCAGGTTTGTTTTGAATCCTGAATGCTGTGGCGGTTTGAACTCAGCAGCTGCCACAGCTGGTCGAGCAGGTAACTGAAGGTGGGTGGAATGTTCACGTGCTCCCAAACCTGTTCTATGGCAGCTGGAAGGTGTATCCTGCATGTTCAACTAATGCTTACAAATTGGCCTATTTTTTTAAGAGACATTAATATATAGATATATAATATACAAATTATAATATTTTTTTATTATTTTACGGCCCTGTTTGCCCCACTACTCACCCTCCCTCCGGGGTGCCTGCAACCCTGAGGCATCTCTTACGGCCGCAGCCCACCTCTCAGCCTCCTGCAGGTTGACGCTCGCGTCCTGGACCAGCGCGACCCTGAAGCACTGCTCCACTCTTTGCCGGGCCACTCCGGCGCTCATCCAGCGCCTCTTAAACGGGTAGAAATAAGCCGTGAAGTAGGCACCGATATCCGCGCTGTCCGTTCCTCTGTACGCCCGGCAGCCGATACAGTCGGCCAAGTTAAAAACCACCTTCGTCCTGCCTGGAGAGGAGCAGATCCTCTGGATGGTCAGGCTGCTCGCCGTTAGACTCACCGAGTACCGGAGACTGTCGTTGAGTGTGTCCGTGAACTCCCCGTACAGCGTCCCCACGAACCCGTTCCGCTGCCGGGATGGGTCTGGCTCAGAGGCGCCCGTCTCCATCACCGGACGGAGAGTTGCGCCGCGTCCTGCCGAGCGGTGTGAGGATGGAGGAGTGTTGTATCCTCCGAACAGAGCAGCCTGTAGTGGGACCCTGCAGTGAGTGTGTGTGAGAGGGACTCACTTATTCAGAGTCTCTCCCTAGCGATTGAAAACGGAATGGCAGTGACACCCAGCTGCCCTGCCCAAAACTCCAGGTTTAACTTGCAGGAAATACCTCATTCATATGGAAATTTGGTTCAGAAAATAAAATCATCT